CCCTTTGGCCGAAATGAGCTTTCAGGAAATGACCGCTTCCAGCCAACGGCGCGTGTGTCGTAAGATTGCTCTTTTGGGTTTTTACAGGGGCGAGTCATTTCGGGGGTCATGCTTGGTGAAGGGATTGAAATGGCTGGCGGGCATGAATCCTCATCGTGTAAGTTCTGTCCACCCAGAGGGCCAGTTCAATGATTGGGAAATACACGCTCACCATGTTGTAGGTCCAAGATGGTGATGTTCCTTTTGTTTGGTTCCCCTTGAAACCGACCCCCCCCCAAAAGGGTTCCCTAAACGCAAACACACTTGCAACACAAACAACCAAACAAAGAAACAAACGAAACAAGCAAGCGAGCAAGTAAACGAACGAACAAACAGCAAATAATCATTCAATCAAACACACAAGCAAACAATCAAAGAAACAAGCAAACAAGCAAGTAAACAAGCAGGCGAACGAACGAACAAACTGAAACACACATAATCCTTCTTTTAGGTTTTGGGCAACGTCCTCGGCATTTTCAGATCATTGCAGATGGGAAGTGTCAGGACCAGAATGGCCCATGCCCTTTTCGGAGATCTTGAGGTCTTTTGCGCCTGAAGCCGAGACACGGGGACGGTCCCACCGCTCAAATGGGGATGTCATGTGGTTCCTTTTTGGTGTGCCTTCAATGCTGTCCCTTCAATGCTGTCCAACAAGACATCTCCCAATTTTTGTGCAGCCCTGATGCGTATGGCGGATGAATGTTGGCTACCCCCGGGGAGCTGAGCGACAGTGCGAGACGTTTGGTCCACTTTGGAATCCCTATTTTTGCAGTTCCCGGATAAGTGCGTGATCTTCAGTTCACTATATTGCTTGAAATATGTAGCATATGTATAATATACATATATATATATATATGTGAGCGAAGACTAGAGGAAAGGCCTGGTTGGAAACATGTTTCTCACCTTTGCCAGGTCAAGACATACAGAGTAGATAGACATACAGATAGGCAGGTAAGCAGGCTGGTAGGTAGATGGATAGAAAGAAAGGACAACTACATAGATGGGTAGATAGATTATATATATATAGATAATACATATGTATATGTTTTCTAGGTAGAGATCGATAGATCGATGGATAAGATAGATATCATAGATAGATAGAAGGGTAGATAGGTGGATACATAGAGTTGATTGAATAGGTAGATAAGATGGATACGATAGACAGACGTATAGATAGACAGATGGATGGATGGATGGATGGATGGATGGATGGATAAATGGATGGATTAGATAGATAGTTAGACAGGCAGAAAGATAGACAGGCAGACACACACACGGATACACAAATTGGTAGCTGGTAGGTACGGATATGGATTAACATATCATCCATATAATAAACTGAAAGACAAGACAAACAAGACAGATAAGATAGAAAAGTTTGTAGGTAGATCGTTCGATCGATTGGTCGGTCGATCGATGGATTGATCGGTAGATTGGATAGTTGGATAGATACACAAAGGCTAGATAGACCCGATAAATAAAATATGTATATTTCATATATCTACCTATCTATCTATGTATTTTGATTGTTTGATTGCTGGATTGATTGATTGATTGCTTGATTGATTGATTGATTGATTGATTGATTGACTGATTGATCGATTGATTGATTGAGTGAGATACACGCAGATAGACAGGTATAAGGGTAGATAGATGTAGATAGATAGATGGGCATATAGAGAAGACAAAGAGAAAGACAAAGACGATAGATTCAACAAGGATAAATTTGAATTCAAAGAAACTAAAGGTAATTATCGACATACCAAACAATACAAGGATCAACAGAACCAACAACGGCACAGAAAGGGGGAGAGAGAGGGAGAGAGAGAGAGAGAGAGGGAGAGAGAGAGAGAGAGAGAGAGAGAGAGAGAGAGAGCGAGGGAGGGAGGGAGGGAGGGAGGGAGGGAGAGAGCGAGAGAAAGAGATAGAGGGAGAGAGAGGCAGAGGAAGAGAACTAGAAAAAGAAGAGAAGGAGAAAAAGAAGAGAAAGAGAAGCAACATAAACCAGAGAGAGAGAGAGAAAGTTCAAAATCCCTGTGATATAGCTCTTCTATTTTTTTAAGCTTCACCCTGCTTCGCCGGCACGGGTAGCATGGCCAGCGTGCCCTTGCCGAGAAAAAGCACGTAAAGGAGACACCTCTCATGTTGACAGGCATGGGTCTGCTTTTCTCGGGAAACCACCAAGTTGGTGGTTCCTTCTGGTTTTCCCTTTTTAAAACCACCAAAACGTGGCACCTGCACCAAAAAAAAATCGCTTTCTGTCCAGCTCTCTCCCGCTGAAGCTGGCTCTCGGAGTGACCTCAAGCGCATGCAGCGTTGGAAGGTCGAGGTCGCGTCCCAGGTTCCCGAACCCCAGCCCCCCAGCCCGCGCAGCCGGCATCCAGCCAGCAAACCCCAGCCACAACCACTCCACGTGGAGTGTGGGACCAGGTGCAGCGTATATATATATATATACCTCGACATATTTATACATTTTTATATGTATATGTATATGTAGTCATTTGGCACGCGGCGATTCTTTGAAACAACGGTTCTCCAGCAAGACTGCGCGCGGATCCACATAGTTTGCGCATTCCGGTGACATCATGTGTTGACCATTTGTCACCAATCATGTGGAAACGACCACAAGAAAGTTGGCTCATCATGGGCGGCCAGGCAGAGTTTGACCGGCGTTCCTCTTGTGTTGAGCCTGGCACCTGTTCGTCTGACCCTAATAAGTAATAATACATGTATTGTTCCTTCCCCAGAATTAGCTCCCCTTCTTGTGTTTTTGCTTTTTTGGGTTCCCTTTGTTTTCCACTAACCAGGCAAAAAGGATATTCTTTTGCTGGGGTCCTAATTCCGGCCAAGATACATGTATTGTTCTATTTGCCAAACACAGGGGCCCATCGGGGCCCCATAGGAAATGGAGCTATGGGAAGGTCATGGTGAACGGCTTTTGAAAAGGGCTGCAATGGACGGGCTCCGCTTGTTGTGGTCCTGAAATTTGGTATTGACAGAAGCAAAGAAAATCTGCAGAGAGATCATTTGCGAGAAGCTCGTATCCCGTGCGCGAAAAACATGAGCTTGTTTACACAGGGTTCCCTCATTTGCAGTGTGTGAACTATAGTATTTCGCCGAGATGGATGAGATAAAAAAAAAAGAAACAACTAATCAAGAAAACGCTGATCAGGCTGACAGCGTAGGTCACAAGGTTAGATGGTGAGTTTTGGACATGTTACTGAGGATCCCAGCCCTGTTGCTGCTGGAGCAATGCTGCCAGGCCATCGGGAAGGGTTCGGAGTTTCGAGAGGCTTCACGCATGGCTTTCTTTTGCTCAGAAACCGGGTGGTGCCATGGATGCCTTGGCCTTCCAAGGACCCGCAAAAACGGGACCCTTCTTGATGTTGAAAAAAGAAAATCAGCCAAAGGCCTGCCTTTTCAGCCAACACCCCAAAAGAAGGAGGTTGCGAGATAGCTGTAAGTGTCCACCGGGCATGTGATACCCTCGCCTGGAAAGAGGGTTGCGTTTCCAACTCGGCTTGTCTAAGTTTTAAGCTTCAAAACGAGTTGAGTCAGAACTGTGCTCTGACTCAAGTGTTGTCCGAGTTTCAGGTGAATTTACACAGCGCAGACAATTGGCAACTGCCTTCATCAAAATGAAGAAACAAGGATGATGTCATTCCTTCGGCAAATTTTACTTGAATGAAAGAGGCCGATTTTCTTCCTCAGTTGTCCAAAGCTGACCTTTTGACCACCCGGTTCCCTGTGTTGTTTCATGTCAATCAATCATTCTGTTGGCTTGCTTGTTGCACGTTTCGTCGCCTGGAAGCCTCCTTCCATGTTCTTCGGGTCATTGCTTTCGGCCTTTCGGCAATAGGGGTTGTCCGCTGGATGTTTTTGATTTTGAGCATAGAGCAGATTATGTTTGGGTTTGGTTTCCCTTAAACCAAAAACCAGTTGGGCGTGCCTTTCTTTGGGTCCAAAATGATTTTTGTTGTTCTCCTGTTGTTTTCCCTGCGCCAACAAAAAAGGGGCACCCTGAAGAAAGACAGATTCGTTGAAAACACAAGTTTGGAAACGTTGTTGCCAGTGCCACCAATACAACTTCAAGTGAGCGCCACCACAAGCCAGGGAAAACCCTATGTTTCCGGTGGTTTTAAACCTCACCTTGGCCCAGCTACAATGAGTTTTCCCTGGTGGTGACGATGTTTTCGCGGAAACTTGGGGAACCCTGAAGAATGATCGACACCCAAGATGGTTCCTTTTTCTACTAGAGTCACTGGGCAGGATTGGCATGACAAACTGGGAGCACCTCAGAATGTTAATTTTCCTTTGGTTTCCCTTCAAACCAGGTTGAGAAGGGTAGTCTCAAAGAAACGGACTCGGACTCAGTTGCACCCCGCTGCATGTCGCCTGACGTCGCAGAGGCGGCCGAAGCATTCGACGCCGTGAGCGCATGCGGCCTGGTGTGGGTGCCAGCCTTAGTTCTGAAGTCAGCACTCCGGGGGTTTGCTCCACACCTCCAGTGTCCTTTCTTCTTCTTTGAAGGTGTTCCCCTTGAAGGTCAATCAACTGCTTGAGATTTTAATCTTAGCTTCGGAGCAATCCAAGTCAAACAGACGACTATCCAATTAATGATTTCCCTGCTTTAAGGGGACTACCCGTGAGTAGCATGGTCCTCCGGATCATTCACTTGGTTGGTCCCACTGCATACCTGGAAACCTCCCGATGAACTCGATGGGAGGCGGAACCTTTCACCGCAGCCCTGGTGGCTTTTGTGCCGATCAAGACTCCAGTGCCATGAGATAACCTCCACAAAAAGGGTAAACAGTCCTCACAGCAAGCGGTAGGAAGCCCTGCGCTCCAGCAGAATAGTGATTGGACCTCCCGCAGATCAACATGGAACCCAGAAAACTATGTCTTCAGCAGAATTAATTTCATTTTGAACATATTTTCGGAAATCCCTTTTTGTGTTCCATGTTGGATGGAGCCGTCAGGCATCATCAGTTGTGGCAGCTTTGAGGCTCCACGAGCAGATCTATTGGTCAATGCCAGAAGGATCCAGGCATTGGCATGGACTTCTCAATAGCACTGATTTCTTTAAGCGACTCCCCAAAGGAGGCTTTTGTTTTTCCTTTGGCTTCCCTGTGAACAAGGTGCCGTAAACAAGGTGCCCTTCAAATGAACACTGATGCGCCCCATCAGGTGTGACTTTCTTTGAGGATCGACAAGGTCTCTGGGTAGTGTCTGAATTGGATGCCTGTTTAAAGGGGACGGACACCATCAGCGCCTAGAAACAGGGCCCCATGGCGACCAGCCGGGGCGGGACGATGTCGTTGTTGGCCTTGCTGATCGCGGGCTGCTTCGCGGAGGGCAAGGTCATATCCATTGAAGACTTTGGTGCGGTGGCCGACGAAGAGGCCGCCAGCGCCAGCAACGCCGCGGCGTTCAACCGGGCGCTGGCTACGGCTGGCAGCGGCGACACTGTGGTCGTGCCGGCCGGCAAGAGGTATTGGGTTCTGGGCGGGGTGCTGGGGTCTGGGTTGTTCAACGTGACCGTCCGGTTGGACGGCGTGCTCATGGCCGCCGCCGACTACGAGCACTGGCCAAGAACGCACAAGGGCAAGCACTACGCCGACTTTTTCAGCATTGTGAACTCGCGGCACGTGACGGTGACGTCGGCAGGGAGCGGACTGCTGGACGGGCAAGGGGTCGGGTGGTGGAACAAGGAAGTGCTGCCGGCCGTGTATGGCAAGCTCAAGAGCAAGAGGCCCAAGCTTATGTCCATGGACAACTGCACGGACGTGCTGGTGGAGCGACTGAACATGCTCAACTCGCCGTCGTTCCACATGATGCTCAGCGACATGGCGCGTGTGGAGGTGCGCTACATCCACATCAACGTGGACCGCAGGAAGCAGGCGGAGCTGAAGCAGGTCAAGGCCGCCCTGCGCAACGACACCTCCCGCGCGGCAGGGGACCACAGCCAGGCCCACCTGCAGCCTGAGGACCTGAACACGGATGGCATCGACCCGTCCGGGCGGGACTTTTGGATCCACGACTGCACCATCATGAACGACGACGACTCCATCGCCGTTAAGCCGTGCAACCCCGAGGGCTGCGTCAACTCTGACTGCTCCCGCAACATCCTGGTGGAAAACATGGTCATGAGCGGCTTCGGCGCCTCCATCGGCAGCGTGCCGCCCCACGCGGCGGTGGCATGCGTGCAGAACGTCACGTTCAGGAACATGACCATGCCGGGCACGGGCAAAGGCGTCTACATCAAGTCCAACCCCTCGTGCGGGCTGGCGGACGGCAAGCCCAAGCGCGGGCTCATCGCAGACATCACCTACGAGGACATCAAGATCGAGAAGCCCCTGTGGTGGGCCGTGTGGATCGGCCCGCAGCAGCAGCACGAGCCAGGCGCTGCGCTGGGCGAGAAGTGCGCGCTGGACTACCCGCTGGGCTCCTGCCCCACGCAGGGCTGCGTGGACTTCCGCAACATCACGCTGCGGAACATCGCCGTCCACGAGCCGAAGCTGAGCCCGGGCGTCATCCTGGGCAACAGCACCAACCCCATTCAGAACCTCGTGTTCGACAACGTGCGGGTGATCAAGCCGGGCTACCTGCCGTTCAAAGGCAAGTACAAGTGCGAGCACGTGATCGGGACGGTCACGGGCGGGTCCGGCCCACAGCCGGAATGCTTCAACGATAGGCCGCGCGATCGGCCCATCCTTAATACCTATGTTTGACACTACTCTTTTAACGTCATTTAAATTAGGTGTGGGTCAAAATTAAACGAGCAGGGATGGACCGCAGGTTTTCGTCCTTCCCATTTACCGGGGCAGCCCAATTCCTGGTTACCAACTATTTTTGTCCCACAGCCGTCTGAAGATGCTACGATGTGTTACGCATAGCGAAGCTGAGCGAGCTAGCTGTCACTCGCTGTGGCTCGGCCTCGCCACAAAGGGCGACCGCAAGCTCGTTCCGCGCGACTGCGGCCCCTATGCTTCCGGCTTCTGGGGGGGTTTCTTTGTTGTTCCCAGCCATCCGGTTGCTTAGGTTGCTGATCTTTTTGGTTGCTTTGTGGTTGAGTTTCCACGTTGAACTCACCAAAATTTAGTTCCTTAGTTTTTCAGCTTTCTAGCTGATGTAGTGGTTGGGTTTCCATTGATCCATTGAACCCACAAGTTGCTCACGTTTAGCAAGGGTCTGTGCGACACCCCTGTGGCGTTCAGCCGGCCAGCGACCAAAACCGCGAGGCTTTGGCAGCTCTCTGGCGGGTGCATTCCGGGGGCGGTGTCCTGTTGCCCGGCACCCTGGCGAGTCCGGCGAGTCCAGCGAGTCCCTTTGGGGCCAGGGGTTGTGTTGTTTTTGGAAGCGTTTTGTGCAAGCTGCTCATATCCCAAGAATCCCATGAGCTTGTTATGTGAATGCCATGTCCGCTTGTGCCCCCCATGGCCTTGAACACTGGGGACCAAGTTCAGAGATTGAAGGCAGAGGCTGCAGGTCCTTTGACGGGCAACCACTCTGGTGACATGCCAGTGGCAAACGGCTTGAGCCCCCAAAAAAAACATGGCAAGCCAGTGCGGCATAACTTGGTCGACTGAGTGTCTAGAACACGCTTTGGATCCGGCTTTTGTGGAAACACCTGCTAAAAACATATTAACAGAAAAACACAAATGTAGAAGAGTACTAAGCAAACCTACAGGGGGAAGAAAGTTCGGTGAAATTCACAAAACGCACAAGTCCAAGCTGTTTTCTTCAGGGGAAACCAACTAGCAGGAATACAGGGGGAACCAGGGATACGGGAGGATTCCCCCGAGATGCACATTGACTAAGTTTGATATGGGAAATGGTGCCAAGGGAATCCCTTCATATCCCCGCTCCCTCCGTATCCCCGCTTGTTCGTTTGTCCAATTTCTAGCGTTTGCGTCGTGAGAGGCTGAGTGCTTAGGCCAGGAGGAGTGGACACCTCACTCACGGCCTCTTTGCTCAGCTCGGAGTGCCGCTCGCCCAGCGTCAGTTTTCTGCTTTTGCTGGGTTGGCCTGGTGTGTTTGAATATGTTTCTTTGGCTTGTTTCGTTGTTTTGGGTTGTATCTTTGTTTCTTTGGTTGTGTCTTTGGTAGTTTATTGGTTTGTTTGTTTGTTTGTTTGTTTGTTTTGTTTGTTTGTTTGTTTGTTTGTTTGTGTGTTTGCATGCTTGACTGTTCTATGCTTGTTTGTTTGCTTGCCTTTTTTGTATGCTTGTTTGCTTGCCTGCTCGCTTGCTTGTTTGCTTGCTTGCTTGCTTTCTTCTTGTATGTGAGAGTCATCCGAAAGGTCCTTGTATCGAGCTATGAAGGGGAAGACCTTTTGGTCTTGGCGTTGACCTCCGCGAAAGTTCCGCGAAGGGGGTCGCGAAAGTTAATTTTTTATTCGCGAAAGTGTTGTGTAAGGGTGGCTTGCTAACAGGAAGCTGGAGTGATGAACCATGTGTATTTACCGGCAGTGCGGCCAGAATGCCCGCAGACCAAAGTTGGCCAGGGAATGCGCAGCCTGAGGGTCGCTGCAAGAATACGCCACTGCAAAAGCAACCCCCAGCCAGCAGAAACCGGCTTGTGGGAATTTTGAAGCTTTCGGGTCAAGTTGAGTGCAACTTCCAGCCGGATATTCGCGAATGTTTGGCGAAAGTTTCGCGAAAGTCGACGGACCTCCCCGCCAGTTTCCGGACATGAGGCCAACGGCTCCTCTGAGCTGGAGCTGCGGAAACGCGCTTCGCGTGCTACTTTGGAACTGAAAGGTTGCGACTTTCGAGCTGGGCCTGCGGAAGCTTACTTTGTGTACTACTTTTGTATTAGAAAGCTTTGACTTTCGAGGCTGCGGAAGTTTAGTTCATGTACTACTTTCGTATTGAAGAGTTGCGCGACATTCAAGCCGGGCTGCGGAAGTTTACTTTGCTACTACTTTCGTATTGAAAAGCTGCGGCTTCCGAGCTGGGGCTGCGAAAGTGTACTTCGTGTATTACTTTTGTGATGAATGTTCTGAAACAGCCCCGCGAAAGTTCCGCGATGGGGTCCGCGAAAGTTATTTTTTTCTCGCGAAGATGGCGGTTTCCGGAACAAGGAATTTCAGATAACTGTCATGTATCTTTGTATATTTGTTTGTTTGATTGTTGGTTTATGTTTGTTTGCTTGCTTGCCTGGTTGCTTGCTACCTGTTTGCTTGTTTGCTTGTTTGATTGTTTGCGTTTGTTGCTTTGCTTATTTGTTTCTTTGTTGCCGTATATTGTTTCTTTGTCATTTTGATGTTCTTTTTGTTTGCTTGCTTGTTCGGTTGTTTGCTCGTTGTTCTTTTTGTTGTTTAAACAACAGAACCACAATTGTGTGTGTGTGTGGTTGCGGAGTGGCGGGGTGGGGTGGGGGGGGGTCGCTTGTTTGGCTTGGTTGGTGTGTGTGTGTGCTTGCGTGCCAGTAGGCAAGCTGCAAATCATGGACCCCCTCCCCCTCTTGAGGGAATTAATTGTGGATAAACAAATCAATGACAGTACGATAAGGAAGGCAAGCAAGCCAAGCAAGACAGGCAGGCGGGCAATGCATGCATGCAGGCATGCGTGCAGGCAGGCGAGCAAGGCAGGAAAGCAAGTAAGAACGCATTCAAACAAGGGTAAACCTGGCCATGGGTCAAAATCTCGTACCCCCAGTGAACATCCCAATACCCACTAAAATAGACTAACATGGGTGGTGCACCTACCCCAAATTGGGATCCCATTGGTTTTGACCCACAGCCACCTATGTCCGCCTGTTCATATTCTGCGCATCTTCGCCTCCGGCGGTCAACATTCTCAACCCTTTGCAAGTCGCCGATTCGTCAGGTCTTCGGCGGGCAGATGACTTGGACAAGGAGATCAGCACTCGGGCCTTGGAGGACACGATTCGAGTCTAATGCTTTCTGGGCCGTTGCTTTTTGAGTTGGTACTTTATTATTTTTTTATTATGATTATGGGTTTTAAAGGCAAACCAAAAGGAGCGCCCTTTTTTTCGGGGGGCGGGGGGCTAAACAAGACAGCCCTTCTCTCTTTCGGTTCGGGGGAGTCGACCCACTCAAAATGATCCTCCAGTGTATCATGAGTGCAGGCTGTTCCCTTTTGTGGCTTGCTGGTACTGGGAATGAATCCATTATACATGGAAGCAGCCCCCACAGGGCTTTCAGTTCTTATTGGATTGTTGAGGTCAATCACTGGGAAATTGGTTCACTGACCCCGGGAGTTTGCCGGAAAAGGGTTGTACCGCTAAAACCTTTCAACTGGCGTCATGCGGCATTTTAAGGTGCACTAGCTGTGGACCACAATATTAAGAAATGCATGTTTGGGTTAGGGGCACAAGCTCTTCCGAAGTGGTAGTTTTTTGCAACCCACCAGAAGTCTGCAACTTGGGAAGGTACATGGACCCTAGTTCTTCAATGCTGATGGCTAAAGATCCATTTCGCACCCATTGGGTGGTTTTATGTGGGTATAGGCATGGGTAGAATCGAGTGGAACCCCTTCCTGGGTCTCAGAGCAAGCTTGGAACAGTGCAGCATTTTTACCACCCAAGTTGCCCGGCTGCGAACCTAAGCTGTCGTTCTGCGAGGGCAAAACCACAAGGCTCTGGGGGCACCCCTTCGAGGTGAGCGCCCCTAGGCTGAAGCTCGCGGACTGAATCTCGGCAGTTCTACGATTCCGTTTGCAAAAGCACTTCTCTTACTAGCCGAGCAGCTGGTACAAGGCATTCAGGGCGGTGACTGTTCAACATCAATTCACCTCATGGAGGAAACGAGTTTGTAACTTTACAAGGCTGTAAGGGGCTGGTGGGTACTATTAAAGCAACTCGTCTCATGGAGAAGCCCATGTTGAAACTATTTAGGCCTGGCTGTATGCCCTCGCCATGGGCCTGGCGACTTAGGGATACTTACAGCTGGTCATCCACCTAGGATCCCTGCACCGGTTTGCCCTTGGTTTTTGGGGGCTTCTCCAGACGTTGCCACAGGTTCACCAGAGTTGCCAGTCACATGAAGCGTTTCTCAGGAGCTGGTGGTGGATGGCCATTGTGGGCTTGAGCCTGCCAACTCCCAGGCACAGGAGGAGGCGCAAGCGGCAAGCGGGCCGCATGCCACGAGTGGTCTCAAAATTTGGAAATTGGGCTGGGCCAAAATTGAAAACAGCCGGGGTTATGCAGGTTTTAGTTTACTTGTTCATGTACCAGGGTTAGATTTTGGACCCTACGATTGACCCACCCCAAATGGACTCAGAAGAATGTGGTTCTCTTTTAGCATCTCTTTAAAATCAGCCAAAGGGGGGTTCCATCCAAGGTTCCCCGGAAAAAAGACACAGCCTGTGAAGTCTGCCTGACATGGGTTGAGAAACCCGCTGAGTTATGGGCCTTGTGTTAACAATCCACGTAAGTTGTGAATTCAATCATGTGGATGGTCCTGCACCAGCATACCTGTAACCCACTAGCTGGGCGATGTTGGGTGTGTTCATTTGTTATGTGTTGTTTCCTCCAACGGGGGAAAGGCACAGGTATCAACAGCAAACTTGTTAAGCATTACTACCAACAACTTATTAAGCATCAAGACAAACTCATTAGGCATCAAGACGAAAAGCAACTATATTGCATTATATTGCCATTCCCAAGGCAACTGCGCAAAAGGAAGTAAGTAAGAAAGGAAGGAAGGAAGGAAGGACTGTCTGATGAGTTTGTTTGGCCTTGCTGAACCCACCCTAAACCCACCCTAAACCTGCCCAAGACCCACTTCAAACCCACCCCAAGCCAAACAACCCCACACCAACCCGCAGCAAACCCACCCCCAAAAACTCTAAACAAAGCATGCGTGACAAGTTTGCATTTGACGCCTAACAAATAGTTTGTTGATGCCACAGATGTCAGAATTGTTTGCAGTGTTTTGCAGCGAAATTGTGCCCAACAAGTTC